TTTTTTTTGACGATTAATTTTCTGATTTTTGTTTGTTTCGGAATTGGAGCAAACGAGACGAATTCTGTTAGAGTGATTCTTGCATCGATTAATTTGATATTTAATTTTTGATTATTTTATTTAGCTACTTATTAGTACGATACATAATAATATGCACAGGTTAGGTTACAAGTCGTGCTACAGTTTCGTTAATTTTCCTATATTTTTATCAAAATTCTGCTGAATATATTGCATGATTATAACATCATAATAATGAAACGTTAGTTTCTCCTTTGTACAAATATTTGGCCGTAATTTGGATATTTTAATGTAAACGAAAAGGAACGTGATATAAGAACGAGAGAATTCGACAAAATTGCAAATCTGATTTAACCTCGAATTGTATATCGCGCTGGAAACTTCTCATCCGGATTGAAAATTTCACCGAAATATTTGCTTTTCTTCCTTCGTATCAAACATGTTAATCTGTTTGGAAGTCGGATATACCGTGGCATGAATATTTCAAACACGGCGCAATGCTTTCAGAGGTAAACTCTAAGCCACGAGCATTTCTCCCCAAGCAGTAAAACGTTCAATCTGACGCTCTTCCATCTCAGACTGTTTGTTTCTTTTTATTGAAATCTTCAATCATACGAGCGAATCGCGACGCGAGGCTGACAAATTCGCGAAAATAGTTTGCGTCTCTGAAATATCTTATTGAAGATTTTTATTCGCGAAATATGTATAGGTCAAAGAAATTATTCATACTCTACAAGAATACAAATTACTTACAGTTCAATCATTCATCATAATTCGTTGGTGTTTTTTGACGGAGTAATGTAACTTAGCTTTTTTTATTTCTAATTTATTTAATTTTTTATTTTCGTTTCTTCTTTATCAAAATGTACAATGTACATATGTTCTTTATTCTCCTTATTCTCCTCATTCTCCATATTCTTATATTTAACCTTATTATTCCAAATGAAATCAACGATATTCTAAATGAAACTAAAGAAAAGAACGAGAAGACGACAAAGTCTCTGCAAGTCGAATTTTTTGCCGTTACTTATTTGTAAACTCCATAAGACGACAAGAGTTGTCGAGGAATAAAATTCCACAGTAAACTAAATAAATTTCTTCAAATGTCCATCCCTCTACAAATTATTCTATCCCTCTCAAATAACCCATGTACGCTACAGATATTAAAAATATTCAAAATATTTTAAAAATTTCGAACGCAGAAACCCTGCAACGAATAAAGGGTCCACAGACACGTTTCTCTTTCTTCCCCTTCTGATTCATTCCGGAGCACACCTCGTATGTAAATTCACGCGAGGAATTATTGCATTTATAGTTTTTCATCCTCATCTATTCGACATTAACAACGTTTCGTCCAATGGAGGCGAGAAAGCGAAGAAAAAAAAAGAAAAAAAAAAGGAAAAAGAAAAAAGGCTGGTCAGTGAGGTGATATCATGGTGCACCGCGTTTCCTGGTGGCACGGCTGTTGAAGTTTTGTTGAATCGCTTGTAACGGTAGTGTACGTGCGACGAGCCGGATGCAGGTTGCCGTAGCTTGCATACACGATGCGCAGAAACGGTAATCGGACATATCGTCTATGTGCTATAACAGCTACGTATCTACACGGTGTCTTTCACTTCTTTCAAACGTCAAGCTCCTCTTCCTTCGTGGCTCCCCTTCTCTCGAGGCGCGGCCATTGAACCGGCTTGGGAATTTTCGTCGAGATGAATTTTTATGTAAATGTTTTCTTTTTTTTCTTCTTTTGTTGTACTGTTTGTTGTACAACCAATTTTATTATTAATTTACGTAGATAGATGTAGTTATAGATCATTCGAAGGACTGAGAATCATGTGGTGTAAGTTTCGATCATTTTTATGATTTTAGTTACAATTATAATTTTGTAATTGCAAGTGTTGTAATTTCACGATTTTTATAACTCTAGTTTAATTGGAGAGTCTTTTCAAGTGTTGAAGTTGTTCTGTATGTTTGGTTTCGTGATCAACTATTGGAATAATTTCATTTATTCTAAAAAATCAGCTATTTATCTTTAACTGTCGATCTAGCCAGAGAGCAGTGTGTTCAATGATATTTCGAAATGAATTTTTAACCCTACAAAAAAGTTTTTAACCCTCTTGGGGTTAAATTTTGCAATTTGTCTAAACATTATTTAGACCTGTAAAACATTATTGTAGAAGTGAAGTGAAATATGAGATAAAAATGTCGGTGAAACAAATTCGCCGTTTTCTCGATAGAAACACATTTTGTAAGAATGCAAGACGTGCAGGCAAGAAAAGCAAAAATTTCATTATTAATTTACGAAATGTTGCTTGACAAGAAATATTCAAAAATATAAAAGTATTAACAGAAATTAGTGGCATATCGATTCTTGGGCGCTAAAAGGGTTGAAACAAGAGAGAAACAAAACAATTCGAAGCTTAAAACTCTATTCTCCATTTAACTCGCGATAAATTGCTTCTCGCTCGTACGCTCGACAAACCGTCACAGAATTGCATAGACAGTTCTAAAACAGGTTATTGAGGAAACGCTGTAGAAAAGTAGCAAAGAAGAACACGGCATAAAACCACGGGGAGAGATGCTGAAAGTATACATCGGTATCCGAAACGGAAGGACGGCGAACGATCACGAACGAACGGCAGGCGTCAACCGGAAGTGTACACCGGCCTGATAACAGGGTCGTATAAATAGTTACTATTTTCAAGCCACGTGGCTTTGCGCGGCGTGGTGACAATCGTTTGTTGCCGGCGCGCTCGAGGATGTCCGCCGAGGATGTCTGTCTACACTCGATCATGGATGGATCATGGATCCGTGGATCGCGCGTCGATCACTTTGCGTGCGTGCGCCTCCCCCAAGTGCCAAGTGCTGCTCCTCCGACAAATGTGTCACGTTGGTGGCTCTACAATCGGTATCAATTATCGTCGCGCGGTCGTGCTTGCTTGCTCGCTTGCTCGCTTGCTCGCTCGTTCGTCCAACTGAAACACGTCTGTTCCCCCGATGTATTTCGCCTGGCGCCGCGCCTCGAATTTCCGACGGTGAAAATTGGATTTCGAATATCGAACGAGTCGGTGGGTTTCGTCACA